TTGACTTGCTTTATCCTTGAATATCTGCTTTTGATATTTCCTCTACCTGTTTGATTAGAAATGGTCCCTTCTGGACAAGGGACACATTGATAGCAGCAAACCTGCTTGCCCTCTGGAACTCTTCTCCTCTCTCCTGCCTGGCACCTCTTCATGCCACACCTGCCAAAGGGCGCCTTCTAATAAAGAAAAGGAAATCCTTGAGATGGGATAAGCAACGAACATACTTCATTGATTCTTCTCCACATTCCTATTTCAATTGAAAACAAGTCTTCAAAAGAAATAGTTCATCTGGATTTCCAAGAAACCAAAAACATCTCCTAGGTGAATTAGGCAAGCAACATTCCTGTCCCTTCAATGGATGCTGGAGATTGGAGCTGGGACCTTGGCATGCAAAGGAGGGCTTGTGACATCAAGCTACAGCTTTGATAAAATAGTAAATTATGAAGACCAATTGAACAGAGTGAGGAAAATGAGTTCTTGAAGGAGAGGGAGGGGGTGAGCAAAATAGAAACAGGAGGAATATGTTCTAATTGAGGCAGCATTGAAATCCTTGGTCATCATCATGCTTTATTTAAATTAGTTTGGCCACAAAACCAATATGCCTCTTTTTATTAAGAAAATAATTCTTTCTTGAGGATAGTAACAACAGAAAGGTGGAGAAGTAACTTGATTCTATAAGAGTCCCTCCCATTGTTTACTATTAAATCCTGCAGTGAGATTTGATTACTGGTTTTGGGGTCCTGTGTTTGATTCCGTAATGGCATTAGTCCATATAAATAATTGTTGCCCACCCTAATGGCATCCTGACCTTCCAGAAATTCATTCCAATCCCAACCCTTTGTGGGCCTACCACAAATCAGATCTGAAATGTGTTACATGCAAATCAGCTGGGTGCCACATTTTCTGATCCAATAGACCTGTTTTTCCAGCTAGAAAGATGTTCTGCATCCCCAGGAGAGAATGAAGCTTTCCCTGAATTTACAACATTAGCTTTCAACTCACCTTTGTGGCCCAGACAATTTCACCAGAGTTAATGGTGAAATCCTGACCTGGTGGAGCCCCAGGATGGATTTGCCCAACTTTAACAAGAACATTTGATTGATTGGGGAGGAAAACCCAGTTGAGAAGATCATAACGAACAGACCTCAGTCCATTTTCGGAGAAGGAGACTTCTTCTCCAGCAGTGTTGTTGAACTTGACATTCCTCAAATAAGGAAGAATCTGAAAGAAAAAAATACCTTCAGAATTTGGAGTAATTGACTGAAAACCACAAACAAGACATCATGGCTCCTGCCCAGGGTTGTCACTTCACTGTCCAGAGAGGTCCAACATTGATCCTTTGATGCAGAAAATCCTGATGAGTTTCAGACCAGGAACAGGTTGGATTCAGAATACATACAGAGAAACTGAGGTGGTTCTGGAAATGTGCCCACAAGGACTTCAATTGCCTTATTGAAACATCTGGCACAAACACACCCAGATTGTCAACTTGCTCTGGGTTGACATCTCCTCCATGAAACAGTCACTTCCTGAAACTCAGGCAGCCATTGAAAACCTTTCAGGACTTTCTATGAAGGTGTTTCCTCTATGGAATTTATGGATAACTAGTTTGGTTTATTTCTGTGTTCCACCCTCTCCCTTTTCAACCAAATGCTACAGTTAATTCACATCACTGTTTATAATAATTGCTGTTTTAACCTGTTCTGCTATTCACTGATATTGTAGCATAAAGATATTTCATGAGTAGTTAATACTACTACTACTACTACTACTACTACTACTACTACTACTACTACTA